TTCTGGTTGTTGTTTAGTACACAACAGAATTTAATTAATTTAAATACAGTGAAGATTGTCCTACAATTTTTACTTCTTTCAATTTTTTAAAATGTACAACAAAGTCATGAAATGTTTATGTAAAACTCAAATATCATGTTAAGCAATTCAGTTTTACTTACCTTACAACATTGGCCTGAATACTTATTTACAAAATTACAACCAATTATACGAAGGGATATCAAAATAAACAGAATTTTATATAAATATGTAAGTTTGGTCTCCAGATGATTCAAATTAGGAATAATCTAACATAAGATTCAAATCAGTCTAATCAGGTTGGTTCGTTTTAAATTTATATATATACATATATATTAATAAAAATCGTACCAACCTAATAAAGATTGTGTTGGTATTTTTTAAACCATGTTACAGACTAACCTTTTAAGTAAAACAATGCCATTTTGTTATGTCTAATACAACGAAATTTTGATTCAAATGTAAAACTTAATCCATCCTCCTTTAGCTATTGTTCACAATCACCCAACTCATAGTCAAGAATTTGGTCTTGACTATTTAATGCATGACCTTCCTAGTAGTGATATCAGCAAATTTTTTATGCTTAAATGTTATTGGACTGATTGCCTTTTTTCAATATATATATATATATATATATATAAATAAAATAAAAATAGACTCAAAAAGTTTGGGAAATGCAGTGAATGCAACCACACTTTTGTTGGATACATACAATTTGTGAACAGAAAGATTGTATGTCAATGATTGGAATTAATGGAAATCAAGCTTTCAGATAGCTTGTTCTCATAGAAAATACAAAAATGTTTAAGATTCCATTTTCCCTCACCCCTTTCTTTTTTGATTGGTTACTTTTTCTTTTACTTTCTATTTTTTCCCTTCTCCTTCAATCACCATCCACCACGTGTATGTGGGGTGGTGATTGGAGGGGATCTCTATCAATGTTCTAGAAAATAATACCAAAAAACATTTTATTTTATAATTAAAATTCTACATGTTTGATCCATTTTTATCTATTGTAGATCAAAGTTATATCTCCTAAATCAAAATGATGACCATAGATGGTGGAATGAGAGATTGAACGAAAAAGGATGGGATATGTGCTATTCACCGTGCAAAATTTTAGTGTGATTATTGATTATTAAATTTAAAATTTTATTGTATTATCTTAAAAATTTGTCATACCCTTGTAAACACAAAATTTTTAACTGCAATTAAGATACGAAATAAATGCACAAAATAATTAATTTTATTAATTATAATAAATAGGTACAATCCTCTATAGATTTTTTCTATTACAAAAGAATAAATCTTTTGATTCGGTCTCTAAAACGGTTGAAATCCAACTACTGTAAAAGATTGTTGTTGTATTAAACAAGTTGATGAATTTCTTTAAGTCTTCGAATGAAAAAACTTGGAGAAGAGAGCCTTGATCTCGGGCTTGAATGGCTTGATCTCAAACGAGTTTTGAAACGATATCTTTGAAAGGAGAGATCAAGTTTGTATTTGTAACTTAAAAAGATTGGCACAAGTTTAGAGTGCTTAATAATCCTTCACTTCAAGTTTGAAGAGGTTTAGAGAGAATTTTGAGAAAAGAATTTGACAAAGTCTTGAGATTACTTGAATATGCAAGACCTTAGCAAAATGTCCCTCCCCTCTTTCTCAATACTGAGAGTCTCTATTTATAGGTTTCAAAAGAAACAAGTTAATTTTGGTAAGTCCAAAATTTGATTTTAATTTTCAATAAAAGAGAAATTTCTCTCTCATTTTATAGAAATAATTTACATTGAAATTTGAATTTAAATTCGACCAAATTTTAACAAAATATCTTCATGGGGCCCACACCTTTGGGTTAATCCAATTGTCAAGATAGGTTCACTTTTTTTTTTGTGTGACTCATAATTTAAAATGAATTGAGGTCCATAATTTTGGTAGGACCCACGTCTATTTGAAAATTTTGACCATCTTGATTATGACTAATTAAGAAAATTTTATTTGTCTTGATTAATCAAACGATGATTAAATTATCTTACAAATTTAATGTCTGCAACCCTATTTCTTAAATATAAATTTAATAAAATTAATCAATTAATATCAAAATTTTAAAATTAATACTTTTAATTCAAAATATAATTTAAAGATATTTCAATTACAAAAAATATTTTACTCTCATTGTCACGAGTCTCATAACACCAGATATTCAATAAAATTATTACAAAATGTATAATGGTTTTAAGATGATTGAATCATACAGGGATAAACAATGGCAATGTTTGGGATGAATTGTTTGGGCTAAAATAATAAAAATAAATAAATAAAATAGACTAAAAAGTTAATAAGATAAAATGTCACATCTAAATTATAATCATTTTATTTTTTCTCTTATAAAAGCCAAAAAAACCCAAAAGCTCACCTTTCATGATAAAATAATCAATTAAAAAATTTATTAATATTTATTATCAAAGTATATTTTTAATTTAAAAATATGACAAATAAATATTTTTTTTAGATTGAACAAATACATATAATTAGATATTTGAGAGCATCGCTAACGGTTAACTTTTTTTTATTTATTTATCAAATTTGAGTAAAAATTTCATTTGATATCGCACGTTCTAACGGAGCAATATGAAATTTCATCAAACTATTAGTCGAATACGAGGACGGCCGAGGGATGTTCGGTCAGTCACCTGGCCAGTGTAATTTTTTCATAAATTTTTACAAGGAGGTGGTCGACCGGAAGACAACCGGCTAGACATCCGGTGATGGTAATTGATGAAAGGCACAACCATTTTAAATTTAATGAAAACTTTTAGATATCCTAGATTTGATATCAATTTGATAAAAAAAGTAGAGTAACAGAAGTTTACTTCTTTTTTTTTTTTTTTTGTATCAAATTTAAATTTAATAAAAAAAAAGGTGTAGCGTTGGAGACCCTATGAATTTACATTATATGATAAAAAATAAATTATATGATTATTGTGTGAAAAAAAAAACACATATGCACTGGAGTGAGTGCTTCACGAAAGACAATTGAGATAATTTATAAGGGTAAAAAATTTGGAAAATGATTGATTCGTCGAATTTGGATTTGTCTGTTGACCAAATTATATAAGATCACTTTTGGCAATCACGGTTGTCACTCTTATAAATCGGTATTGGATGACCGGCCAAATGACCGATATGTATAAATTTAGACAATTCAAGCAAACCCAAATTCGGTGGATAGCATTTGCGAAAAGATTTATTGTAACTTTAATTAATTAAAGATATCATTAAAATTTATTTAAAATATGGATTGTCTCATGTGATTTAAAAAATTACAAATTTTCTATTGTCAGAATTTTTTATTTAATAAAATTAACTGAAAAAATAAAATTCATAAATGCTCTCCTATACAATGATAAAATGATATGAATTATTAATTGAAATAAATTAATGACATTATTAAAAACTACTAATTGACTTGATAATTTATTAATAAAAAGAAAATTTGTTATAAAATTAAAAATTTTAAAAGATGGAATATAATTTTTAAAATTATAAAAAACAAATTGTATTTTAAATAAAGTTCAGAAAGGGAGTGCACTTATAATTTATTTTATTTTTAATTAGAAAAATGTGAATATAGAGTCACAAGAAAATAAAAAGAAAAATGCTTCAGAGCTCGAAATTTCTGAGGCTCGATTGGTTTGAATTCAAAACGATGTTGTTTTGATTTTTTTTTCCTCTCTTTTTATTTGTGAATAAGAGGGAGAAAGAGAGAAAGAGAGAAGAGAAAGGAAGAGAGGAGAAGAGAGAGGAAGAGAGGAGAAACAAAGAGAGAAGCGCCATCACCGGCTATCATCGCCATCACCGGCCATCTTCTGTATGTATACATAGATCTGTATTGATCTGTATCTCTCTCTCTCTCTCTCTCTCTTTGTTTTGTGTATCTCTCTCTCTCTCATTTATGGGTTTGATTTGTGGGTTTAATTTTTGGTTTGTTTTTGGGGGTTGATTTGTATTGATTTTGATTTGTGGTTTCATTTTTGAGGTTGATTTGTATTGGTTTTGATTTGTGGTTTGATTTTGGGGTTGATTTGTATTAGTTTGGATTTTTGATGTTTGATTTTTTTATTTTTTTTATCTTTCCTCTCCTCTCTCTTTTTTTGATTATGTGGAAGAAGAAAAGAAGAAAAAAAACAAAAAAAAACTGAGGAAGAATAGATACAAACAGAGAAAGAAGAAAAGAAAAAAAGGGGAGGGTTGATTGTGTTTGATTTTTTTAAATTTTTTTTCCTCTCCTCTCTATCTTTTTGAATATGTGGAAGAAGAAAAGAAAAGAAGAAAAGAAAAAAAAAAAAACTGAGGAAGAACAGATACAGATAGAGGAAGGGAAAAAGAAAAAAAAAAGGATACCAAAACAGCGTCGTTTTGGCACCTCAAGCCATTCGAGCCTCAGAAGATTCGGATTACCTAACGGGATTGAAATAAAAAATAGAATTATTATTTAACTTTGCTATCGTTTGACAAGTTGATTTGGAATGGGCTGGAATTAAAAAGATAAAATAAAATAAAATAAAATAATTATTATTAAGACAAAATATTATATTTAAATTAGGCTATTTTAACCCCCAAAAAAAAAAAAATCAAAAAGTTTGAGTAAAAGATGTTCCCAAATCAACCCCATTTAACTTTATCAAAGCAAAGTTTTAGGCGTTGTTGATTTGAGTAAAAGATGTTCCCAAATCAACCCCATTTAACTTTATCAAAGCAAAGTTTTAGGCGTTGTTGATAACATATTATTTTAATAATTTTTTATAAAAAAAACAAAAGAAAAAAAATTAACTTTTTTAACTAGAAGGTTAGTTTCCAAACGACAGCATAATTACTTTCAGTTTCAGATTTTTAACCATGGTTAAGTGAGGTTAGGTGGATTTGACCAGTCTGGTTTGGTAGGCGTTGGGGTTTCTATTAAAGCCCACCTCTCTCCCCTGTCTCTCTTCTCTGTCTTAAGAGAGTCTCTCCAACCTTCACCGATTCTGTGTTCCAAGCTTTCAACTAGGTGTTGCAGAGACTCTCTCTCTCTCCTCTCTTTCTCTCACTACAATTAATTTTCTCTCTCTCGCTCTTAACTTTCCGGTTGATTTTCTCGCTGTCCAAACGCCAGTCCTCGGGAATATCGACGAAATGCAATCAGGATCGGAGAAGCTTTCTCCCTTCGATCTGATGAGCGCAATCTTGAAGGGAGGGAGCATGGACCTATCGAACGTGTCGTCGGGCTCCGGCGATTCGCCTCTGGCGGCGCTGGTGGAGAATCGGGAGCTACTGATGATTCTCACAACGTCGGTGGCGGTGCTGATCGGCTGCGTGGTGGTGCTGGTGTGGCGGCGATCGGCCGGCCAGAAGTCTTCCAAGGTGGCCGAGCCTTTGAAACCTCTGACGGTGACGACGGAGCCGGAGCCGGAACCGGAGGTCGATGACGGAAAGACGAAGGTCGTCATCTTCTTTGGCACGCAGACTGGTACCGCAGAAGGATTCGCCAAGGTTAGTTTGGCATTTTGAACTTTGTTTTGGATCGCAGTTTTTACCTTGTTTGATTTGCTGTTGTTTGGTTCTCGAGAAAATTGAATTACTTTGACTGATTCGATTGCTGTTGTTTTCCACTTTTCAGGCACTTGCTGAGGAAGGTAAAGCGAGATACGAAAAGGCCAACTTTAAAGTAATTGATATGGTGAGTTTGACTTTTTTTTCCCCCCTTTTTTTTTCTATGTAATTGTTTAAAATTTATTTTTGGGGTTGATTATTGATTGAATGAATGGTTGATAGGATGATTATGCCGCCACTGATGAAGAATATGAGGAGAAATTGAAGAAAGAAACTGTGGCATTTTTCTTTTTAGCTACGTGAGTTTTTACTTCAAATCACATACATATATACATACATACATACATACATTCACGTGTATTGTTGGTATATAACATTGTATTTAATTTATTTGCTTGTTGTGGTATAGATATGGAGATGGTGAGCCAACTGACAATTCTGCAAGGTTCTATAAATGGTTTTCAGAGGTAAATTTTGATTAATTTCTAATTTTTATTGTTACTATGGTTCTTTTACCAAGTGAGATTTGGGTTTCATGGCATGTTATATGACTGCCTATAGGGTAAAGGGAGAGAGAAATGGCTTAATCTTTCGTACGGAGTGTTTGGCCTTGGCAACAGGCAATATGAGCATTTCAACAAGGTCTGGATTTCATTTCATTTCATGTTTTGGTCAATTTCACGTATATATTATATGTGTATGCAATGTAATTTTTAACTACAATTTTGTATTTGTGGTTGTGTTATTGGGAAACAGATAGCAAAGATCGTGGATGAGGTCCTTGATGAGCAGGGTATGTTTTGAATTCTTGTTTTGCTCTCCTCCAGTGACCTTTTGCGTCAATTTGTTGGAATTTGAACAAAAGTTACTATACTTGAGGAGTGAATGTTAAACTGTGGATTGGACATGGGAAAAGTTATAGTAGTGCTTATCTGCTTCTGTTGATTACCATTAAATTTTTTTGATAAATTGTGGTGTCATACATCTCTATAAATTGTTAAATGTTACCAGTGTATTTAGTCCTAACAATGCATGCTATTGCCTTCTGTTTGAAACATGCATTGTAATAATATTTTAGTCCTAGTTTCTTGTAATTTCTGTTACCATAGGCAAATATACATGTTTACTGTACTATTTGCATAGATAAAGACAGTTTGTTGCTAGTCAAAAAAATGTCTTGTTTGGTTGTGTGGTGATTTGTGTAAGTGACTTCACTCTAGGACATATGCCAATTTACTTTCGTTGCTTTTTCAAGAAAGTTAGTAGAGTAAATTTTTACTACTCAGCTCTTAGCTGAATGGTAAGTGTTGGGCGTTTTTGCTGGGCTGGTATTTATATCTATCCCATTGTTGTGATTGCCAAGAGAATTGAGTACCATGCCATAACTCTATTGAAGTGGGATTTACATTTGCAAATAAATAAAGAGTGAAAAGATGACTTATTGAAATATTAATGGAGAAATTGTACTCCTTTAGATGATGGGTTAAGTGTCATTGTCTTCTTCCAATCGTGCTCTTGTTACCTTGAATTAGTGTTTATTTCTGTTTTCTCATGATTACGTTTATCATTTGCAGGTGGAAAGCGTCTTGTTCCAGTGGGTCTTGGAGATGATGATCAATGCATGGAAGATGACTTTGCTGCATGGTATTAAGAACATGAATCATTACCTGGAACTCAGCATATATATTTTTGCAACTCCTTTAAGATATGTAGAAATAAAAGCTTAGTTACTGTTGCTAATGTAGGCGGGAGTTACTTTGGCCCGAGTTAGATCAGTTGCTTAAGGATGATGACAGTTCAACTGTTGCAACTCCTTACACTGCTGCTGTGTTGGAATATCGTGTGGTATATCATGACCGCACAGATGCATCAATATTGGACAAGAGCATGAGTATGTCAAATGGTCATGCTGTTCATGATGCACAACATCCATGCAGGTACCAAAAGAATGTTTTAAATCCTGAATTTGTGTTGCCAGTTAATTATACGCTTTTGTTTCTGTAACCTGACAAATATTTTATCTTGGAATTAAGGTCTAATGTAGCTGTGAAAAAGGAGCTTCATACTCCTGCCTCTGATCGATCTTGCACCCATCTGGAATTTGACATTGCTGGAACTGGACTTGCGTAAGTTGCAATTCTAATTCACTTAATTATGGATGTATATTTGTAATAGGGTGATGACAAATTCTGTCGACGTACTATTATTATTTGTTTTTTGGTAAGCAAACTGTCAACTTGATTTTGCTTTACCGTTAAATGGAAAATGTCTGCTCTTTAAATTTAAAACAAATTGGATTAGAAAAAGCATGCATTTAATGATGAATCAACTTTGTTCATTTATCTTTCTTCACTTCCTTTGTCCACAGATATGAAACTGGGGACCATGTTGGCGTGTACTGTGAGAATGTGATTGAAATTGTGGAGGAAGCTGAAAGGTTAATGGATTTATCACCAGATACATATTTCTCCATTCACACCGATAAAGAGGATGGCACTCCACTTGGTGGAAGCTCATTGCTGCCGCCTTTCCCTGCATGTACCATAAGAATGGCACTGATTCGGTATGCGGATCTCTTGAGCTTTCCGAAGAAGGTAGGGCCATTGTTTGTTTAGTTATGCGTTGATCATAATATTATCTATGTGAACCCTCATTAACTAATTTGTTAAATTTATGTGTTTTACAGTCTGCATTACTTGCCCTGGCAGCTCATGCTTCTGATCCAAGTGAAGCCGAGCGATTGAGGCATCTTGCATCTCCTGCTGGAAAGGTTTGCCATTTTTTGGTTCAGAGTTTTCATAATAAAGTGGTTCATCCATTATAGTTTTTAACGCATAGGTATCTTTCCTGTCTACAGGATGAATATGCACAATGGGTAGTTGCAAGTCAGCGAAGCCTTCTTGAGATTATGGCAGAATTCTCATCAGCCAAGCCTCCACTCGGTGTTTTCTTCGCATCAGTTGCCCCACGCTTGCAGCCTAGATATTACTCAATTTCATCCTCCTCAAGGTGAATAATTCAACACCCTCTCTCTCCACACTCCATGCTCCCCTTTCCAGTACTAGAGGGTCAGTTTGTTACGGTTACTATTACTGGAGGTTATCTGCATTGTCCTGTTACGGGTTCTTGTGTTATACAATGCCAACAATCTCTCAAGATCATAATGCACATTTAAAACATGTACAACATGAACGAGCTCTATGTCTCCCATTGTAAAATTTATGACTTAATCTCTAATTGGACAGGTTAAAAAAAAGCTTCACAAACCCAACTTCAAAAAAAATGGTTGCCTTTTAAGCATTTTGGGCTAAAAACAAATAGGTCGAGAACTTGAGAAGTTTTACCAAACACAATAAAGTACGACTGTTTAAGCATGTGATTTCAAATTTTAACCTAAATAAGCTGCAAATAAGTTTTTCCAAATGGCTAACTCGACAAGTTTTGATTGCTGACATCCATTTTAGCTAGAGGAGATGAAAATCCTCATAGGTATTGAGAATGAGAAAGTTTTACTACATATCACAAAAAAAGGAAGAGTTGTTTTGCCTAGTTGTACTTCATATCTTTTCTTTATCCTTCATTTACCTTACAAGAAATATTGTGGAACAAAAGTGCTCCTTGTGGCATCATTGTTCTCTTTCGGATATCATGTGCTTACTTTCTGAAATCATATTCTACAGGATGGCACCATCTAGAATTCATGTTACTTGTGCATTAGTTCATGAGAAAACACCAACCGGACGAATTCACAAAGGAGTGTGTTCAACTTGGATGAAGGTAATCCTTTTTTAAAAATCTTAGTTCAAACTATTGGTGGTGAAGTTCAAAACTGGGCAAATATGGTGGTCCTCTATTACATGCATAAGCAGCCAATTTCCAAATCTATATTGCCATCTAAAGTATAATATAATTTCAGCTGAGGTAGCTTTTACAACCTTCTAATTATCTTTATTTGGTCTCTTTCCAGAATGCTGTGCCATTGGAGGAAAGCCGTGATTGCAGTTGGGCACCCATTTTTGTTAGGCAATCTAACTTCAAACTTCCCACCGACACTAAAGTGCCTATTATCATGATTGGCCCTGGCACTGGATTGGCTCCTTTTAGGGGTTTCCTGCAGGAAAGATTAGCTTTAAAAGAAGCTGGAGCCGAGCTAGGACCTGCTGTACTATTCTTTGGATGCAGGAACCGGAAAATGGTAACTGATTTACTTAATCAGTCAGATGAATACTCTGTGAATTATGCTAGTTTTTATTAATAATTTGGGTCAAATGCATTCTTTCTTCGCAGGATTTTATTTATGAGGAGGAGCTGAACAACTTTGTTGAAACTGGTGCACTTTCGGAGATGATTGTTGCATTCTCACGTGAGGGACCCGCTAAAAAATACGTTCAACATAAGATGGCAGAGAAGGTACAACACCTATGTCACTGATATACCCATCCTCAACATATACAAGACATTAGAAGGTTTCACCTGTTGTATATTTTGAGATGGCTAAGAATATTGTTCTTTTTTGCCTTTTGGTGTAACCAGGCTTCGGATATCTGGAACATGATCTCTCAGGGAGGGTACCTTTATGTTTGCGGGGATGCTAAAAGCATGGCCAGGGATGTCCATCGAACTCTCCACACGATCATGCAAGAGCAGGTATGTGCATATGAATTGGGTCTGTGGGTGGATGTGTTTAATGTCACGATCCACCTACCTATTGCAGAGCACGGTTGCACGGGTACAATCACCTACACATCCTTTTTGTGGTAGGGGGAAAGCACTAAGGCCTATCAGTGGGCACGCTTTTCACATGTCCACTACTTTTTCTAGGGACTTTTGGTTTTGAAATGACAAAAGAAGAAAGTCATTCCCATCTTTTCCTTGCACTTGAGAGAAGTTTCATTCCATTAGCTGTCCAAGAGTCCCCAATCCTGGTAACTATTTAGATAATTACATGGTTTTCTGGGGGCAAATTAGAAAATAGAAATAATCATATTTGTAAGAGCCTAAGATACACCGGCCCTTCTAAAAAGATAGCTTGTCGTGTTCAACATTGTGTCCGACAACGATATGACACTACACTCTTTGGATGCTTCCCAACACTGGTTGGACATGTCCAAATATTTACTATTTTTTTAAAAAGTTTCTATACTCAGACACACATGTAATACATTACAAGTTGTATAAAATAACTTGAAATCTAGTAATGAAAGAAAAACAACATAATTTTTTACACATAATTTTCCTCCTTTAAACTCTACAAATTATTGTCTTTGAATTAAAATTCATATTTATGACATATCATAAATATATATATATATATATATATTTTGTGTATTCCTCAGTATCGTGTCTTGCTGTGCCTTGCATATTTTGAAAATTTTCATATCTACATGTCTGTCTCATGTCATGTCTCAGTGTCCATACCTAGGTAAGACCTAAACTAATGATGTGAATTGATGTTATATTTCAGGGATCTCTGGACAGTTCCAAGGCTGAGAGCATGGTAAAGAATCTGCAAATGAATGGGAGGTATTTGCGTGATGTGTGGTAATTATTCTTTCAACGCTGATGTTTGATAATGAAGGGAAGAAAAGAGAAATTGCGTAAATTATGCTTTCCGAGGCCAACGTACTGGGATTAGAATGGGATTTAAAAAGGGTCGTGAAGGACAAAGTGGGGAAATCCTACTTCCATTTTCCATTACAATCCTTAAAAAGATAAGTGTGCATTGTTGTTGTCGCCATAGTAGTCATTTATGTGATTCATTTTAGATTTCTTTTGCTTCCAAGGATTTTTTGGTTCATGTAATTCATAAATACGCCACCTGATAAATAATAATAGCACAGTAATTTTTATATACATTTTTAGCGCTCGACGTAATTTTCCTGTAATGAATATGAAGAGATGGTTTTATTAACGGAAATGTTGATTTTGGACTCCTATTTGTAAACCTTACTCAATTAAAAATTGTTGAAGTTCTATGTTTGTGTTTCAAGATCTTCCTCTGCTGCTCTTGTAATAAACAACATTTATTTTGAAGTTTGTTAAAATGTAGATGTTTTATACTTTACATCTTGTAACCCTGGCCGTATTGCACGGCTGATTTTTTATCAAAATAATTATCTGGTCGGGTTGGGCAGGCTGGTTGAGCCCTTGATCACCACCCTTACATAGTAGTGAGTGACATTGAGCAAACTCGAGGATTGGTACAATAAAGGTGAATCAGCATGTTCCTCATGTAAATTTTTTTGTTATATAATTGGTTAAAAATATCATAAATAATGTCTAATAAAGTTTTGAGGCTCTTCAATAATTACTAGTTGACTAGCATTTTAGTGTTGATTTTTTTTTTGACTTTCGAAGGTTAATAATGTAATTTTAAGTGTTTTTAAACGTCTCAATAAGGATTAATAAGTCCTTACGAAAATTTTAATTATCAACTAATTATCAGACGATTGTGTTGAAATTCTTTCAGCCTCAATGAAGAAAATTTTTACTGGTGATTTTATTTAGGAGAAAATTAAAGATATTGATAATAATGATCGATAAAAACAGTTTAACTAATTAAATTTTATTAATTAATAAGAACTTACAATGATACTTTTGTACTTTCACAGCTTTGAAGAGTTTTATAGCAACAAATTACTTGGAACTACTCTTAAGAATTGAAGTATAGTACAGGAATTGAAAAATTGAAATATAAAAACTGGAAAGAGAAATATAAAGTAAACAATTGATTTCTAAATCTGAATATGTCTCTCTTTTGTTGGCTTTCTCTTCTATTTATACCCTTTAATATAACCGATGAAGTGGTTTTCTAACCATCGAAATGTTCTTCTACGATCACTGGTCATGGCTTTGAACAGTTTACTCCCACTACGCCATTCTTGCAGTTGGACTTTCCTCTTGAATTTGAATTGTGAGTAACCGTTGGGCCATGTCATCTTACGCCTTCTTACTACTCTAATACTGCGCAGATCCATTGCTACCAATATGAACTGTCGTTGACTAGAAACTTGCATTATCTCCCCCATTTATCTTTTACGGGCCACGTGTTATGTTACGATTGACTTATACAAAATATATACAAAATATATAGGTAATAATTAGTAATGGTTACATCATGAGTCAAGATCATGTTATGAACTATTTCATTCATTATCATGTGATTAAAATGGGACTTGATAAGTGACTTTTTGCTCGGCTAGAGGCGTGGATGTTTTGTCATATTAAATCTCTGTTTTATTATATATTAAATGTTAATTAATGAATAAAAGAATAATATCAGGTTATTGTGAAAAGATGATTAAAAGTTGATTTTTTAATTTTTAAATTTTTTTGAAAAAATATATAAAAAATATGAAAGATAAATGACTCAATAAATTAAAAATTAAAAGATAACTTCCAAACATATTTCCAAAATAGTCCATCATCTCATTTTGACTACGTTTTACATGTGATCGCTTTGGCATATCCGCGTGGTGTAGTAGGTATAAATTGCTTTCAATGAGGTCTTCTGTTGGCCGTAAAAGGAAAACTAGTTAGCTGAACTAGAATTCAACCTCCAAATCAAAGACATTTTAGAATCTTAAAGGTGCAATTTCTAGGAACAAAACTTTGAAGTTCAAGACAATCACTTAAAGCCAATTAGATTATTTTCCCTTTGACTCCATTATTGAGGGAAATGCTTCAATTCTTGTCTGTGCTATAATAATAATCATGGTAGTAGTAAGAAATTCTTGCCTAGAGTAATGTTAGAGACCCCAAATATTCTACAAAAAGTTTTACCAAATGTCTCACATGGGTGTGGGACCCACACAATGTGGATCCCATGTGAGTACCACACCTATGTGAGACATTTGATAAAATTTTTGATAAAATTTTTGGGGCCTCTAAGCCTATGCCTTTCCAAAGCAATCATTATTGCATATTGTTGAAAGGGCTTTATATGTTTCAAAGACTAGTCTAGCCTTAATTAATGATAATGAGTTATATAAATAGGATTTTGCTTTTTTAATTTGAAATCCGTGCACAGTGCACGAGAATTTATTTTTAAAATAAAAAATTGATATTTAGTTTTAATATTTCATATATAGAAAATTTTAATAATTAAAATTTAAATATAAATAAATTTGTTAATGACTGATGAAAATTTTTATTACTTTATGTGTAATGTTATGTAAAAGATTCATAAAAATATTTTTTTTCAAAATAAAAGTAGTTTTTTTCAAAGTTTAAAAAAAAAGTGTGTATTCTCAATTTGAAATCAAATTCTCATTTGTGTTAATCAAATTTATCAAAAATCATGAATTTCACTTGTATCAATTTTTTTTTTATAAAAAAAACGTAAAAACAATGAAAAATTGTATAATATACAAATTATGACTTGGTTATAACCTATGGTGTATTGTTTTGGTTATTAATCGAAAAAGTCTTTGCCAATTTCTTATGTTTTTGGTTATGTTTAAAGTGGTGCATTGGATTCTGTTAAAAAAAATACTGTATTATTGATTGATATCTTGATGTTGTTTGATATTCTGATACATTGATGTATTGTTTCAAGATTGATAAATTACAATTCCTATACAATCTATATATAGAAGAAAATGTGGTAGTAGGTGTAGTGGAGGTGATAGTGGGTTAGGTGAAGTGGAGTGTGTGGTGAAGTGGAGGTAGGTGAAGTGGAGTGTGTAGTGGAGTAGGTGAAGGTAAAGATGGGAAATTCTAACAAGCCCCCGCAAACTCAATCGCTGTCTAGCTCTGCTCCCAAAATTTCCCATCTTTCGAACCCAAAAATTCCCTGTCTTCCTCCTTTCAACATCAATATCACCAAATAATTTATTTGACAAATCTTATATGAACAATTCAAATTATCAAATTAAATTCGGAATGAGACCCATCAAACCCCACCGCAGCAGGGAAACCCCTACCCCAAATCACTGGCGGAAACAAAGGGTAGTTTGAAAATAACCACCAAGCTAATTACATTAAATTACTAATGGTCCTTGATGTATGCCATTTTTTTTAATCAATTAATAAGAGAGTAATTATGCTCTTAATTTTTTAGTTTAAGCGAAATTTTATTTTGATTCTTTTAATTTGAATTTAAACAATTTGAACCATATATTTTCAATTTTATTGTAATCTAATTCCTCTGTTATTTACTATTAAAATTTTGAATGGAAAAAAAATTATGTGTAAAATTAGAGAAATCAAAGTAAAATTTAAAATAAATTATAGAGATCACTAGTGTAATTTATTCATCACACTAGTGGTTCATATAAGCTTTTGTGTGGGAACTAGGTAGGCATTTTAGTTATTTTAGCTTGGGGCTATTGGTTTTTTTAATTTTTGTCAGAGAAAAAGTGAAATGATTATAGTTTACATATAACATTTTGTTTTACTGACTTTTTATTTTAGTCCATTACCGTATTTTAGTCCATTGCCAAATGCGGGCATAGTTTCTTTTAAATTCCATTTTATTCCTTATAATTTTTCACGTGGTCTTTTTTCATATAAAATATTAACATCATCTATCTAATGAAATGACCATATTAAAACAAAAACTAAAAGTATAATATTCAAATTAAAATTACAGAGATTAGAGAGACACTTTGATAATTTACCCTATATTTTTGTGTCAATAATACCATAAATTTCGCAAAGATCTAAATGAAATCACTGAAATTAAGCACATAATAACTTCTATATGATTGAAGAAAATGGGGGTTTCTAATTACAGTTGTGATCTACTAGAATCAATGGTAGACCCCTGGATTTTCTCAAACATCCAAGTCCACTGAAGTGATCAATCATGGAAGCTCATCAGTGTAAAATTGGACATGTGTCATCATCAAGTTGGACCGTCCTAAAACTAGATCGCCACTCCAAGTACAAGCCTAAAAACATGAGGTATGAAACATTTTCTAGGTTTTGACTTGAGAATCCCAGTGGTCAATTTCTCATATCCATTTTTAGGGTTCAATTATGTGATTGTACATTTGTCACGCTTCATTATGGCTACATCATACATATCGACCTTTTTGTACTCAAATTTTCATTCTTTATCATAAAACATTTACCGTTATTAAATTATAAAAAAATTGAGATAGTAAAATTTTAGAATATAATCCAATGCTTATAAACATTTTAGGATAAATTATAAACACATTTCTTGAGATTTACTTAAATTACAAATTAACTCCCGTAGTTCTAGAAATTATGTTATGCCTCCTAAGATTTCTAATTTTATTAATAAATCATCAAGTTAATTAACAGTTTTTAATAATTTTAAATTTTTATTTCAATTAGTAATTCAAATAATTTTATTATTGTATAGGTGAACAATTAGAAATTTCACTTTTTCAGTTAATTCTGTTAAATAAAAAATTCTAACATGAAGGTATTTATAATTTTTTAAACCATAAAAAGCATTTAAACAAATTTTAAAAAATGTATTTATAATTTACCCAACATTTTAAGATAGAAATACAAAAAAGGTACTAGACAGAAGATTCCATGCTATGTTTATTTTTCTCAAATCAACCCTTAGTCTAGAAGATGAAGGCCGACAAATTTAAAAGTAGGATGGTGATATTTTTAAGTGTTCGATTTGAGCTTACATTTGTTGGCATTCTTAGATGGGAGATAACTCAAATCAACAGCATGATGGTAAAAAAATTCATTTTTATGGGAGGGTAAATTTCTTTTGTTTGTGATGTAAGTTTTTTATTTATTTATTTGGTGCAAGTTTTTTTTTTTTTTTTTTTTTTTTTTTTTTTTTTTTGATTGCTCAGAAGAAGAGATGGAGAAGTTGAGTGATGAAGAACCAAGATCTCTGGAACAGAATCTCAAGGCTCTTGACGAGTTGGTGTCGGCCATCCGAGAATGGACCCCCATGGCCGGAGATAAACCCGTCGCCACCTGTCTCCATCGTGCCGACGATTTGCTCCAGCAATCGATGTTCCGGCTGGACGACG